ACCAATAGTACGACTGAAAGTTATTCCTAAACCAATTACTCGTCAAACAATGGACATACCACAAACAACATTTAAGGAAGGTGAAACATTGACAATAAAATGTGAATTTGATGCTACGCCTGAAGAAAAATTTGAATTCTTGAGGAATGGAAAGCCTCTTAAACCTGATAATCGAATTTCGACTACTGTTGAACGTAATACATATACAATTGTTGTGAAAGATCTTCGACCAAAAGAAGATGAAGGTGTTTACACGCTACAATCAGATCATTTGATTCTTGATACACCATCAATTGTTGTTGTGCGAATCGAGCACAGGGAAGAATCAAAGGAAACAGTAGACGTAGTGGAAGAAACCGAAGAGGAAACTATCATTATTGAAGCCGCTAGAAAACCGGAAGTTGTGGATGTCGAAGTTGTTGAAAAAAGAATGGAGGAAGTAAGTATATTTTTATGGCGGCTGTGGTTGCGAATCGCTAACAGAAATACTTTTTTCGAGTTTTTGGAACATTTTTTTAAAATTTTCCGTTCTTACAGTTACCGGAAGTGACGACGACAATAACAAAACTAGAAGAAGCGGTAGAGGAAGAGAAACCAACAATGAAAACCACTTTGACTACTGAAGAAGTAGCACCTGTCGGATCGGCAACTGTTACGGAAAAACTGGAAGAGGAAAACATTGTAAAATACATCACCTTGCTGATTTCGAAATATAGTCTTTTTGTGTCTTTCTAACTATCGCAGGTCGTAGAAAAAGTGCCTGAAACGATTGTAACATCACAAATCGAAGAAGAAAAAGTGGCTGTAACTGAAGCAGTGGAAGAAAAAATACCGACGCCTACTACAGAGAGAATCACGGAAGAAATCACTCGTATTGACGTGATTGAAAAACAAGTACGATTATTAGTAACGATAATTCTGAAATGAATAAACCTAAAAAAATTGTTTTAGCCAAGGGAAGAACTGAAACCTGTAGAGAAAACAGAAACGAAAGAGGTTCAAGATATAATACCCGAACAAACGCTCGAAGAAACTCCGACTGACCAATCAACAATTATCATTGAAGAAACCAAACAAATTACTGTAAATATTGATAATATACATTTCTTTAAACCGATAAGTTTTAATGTTCGAACGTAATAACGTATAAGATCAAATAAACTGAAGATTGGTAACAGAAATATTATTTTACTCATCTCATACGGGACCTTAGTTTCATCATGGAAGTAGTTCGTTAATCGCAGTAGATCACAATAACCTCTCAATTGTCTGACATTAACGGAACCTATCGAACGAGGTTTTACGTATTATAAAAAACGGCGAAAAATTTACAGAAAAAAAGACAGCCAACAGTACCACACTTACCTTTCTATGACATCGATGTTTATTCCTAAGGGATTTCTATCGTATATGAGATTTTAGGAGAAGCACCTTCTAAACAACAAAATAAAGTTCGCACTGCGTTAAAATAGTTCGAGTTCTTATGCAACCCATCAAGCCTATACTCGACAGTATCAACTTCCAAGAAGCTAAACCTTCTCTCCAAATATTCCCTCTTGCATTTCTAAGATGAATGTGCTCTACTTGACATCCAAAACCGTTACTAATCAAACAAGTTTCGTTTTCTCTTGAAAATATCATTTTAAATAAAGACTATTCCCTTTCAGCCATTTGAGACCGAAGAAACCAAGGAAGTCTTTACCAAAACAGAACTGGGTCCACAAGAAGAAAAAACAACACCGGCTGAAACCGAGCAGCAGAAAACTGTAGAGGGGAAGAAACCACAACCTGTCGAAGAAACACAACTGAAAATAGCTGAAGACCAACAACCAAAGCCCGTGCAAGAAGAGAAAGCAAAACCAGCTGAAGAACAACCGAAACCGACTAAAGAACAGCCAAAGCCTGTCGAGGAAGAAAAACCACAACCGGTTGAAGAAATATCCAAACAGGTGGAACTAGAAAAACCAAAACCTCCTGAACAAGAACAGCCTAAACCTGTCGAACATGAAAAACCAAAACCGATTGAAGAAGAAATACCCCGACCGGTTGAAGAAGAAATACCCCGACCCGTCGAAGAAGAGAAACTAAAACCGGCTGAAGAAGAAAAACCACAACTGGTTGAACAAGAACAGCCTAAACCTGTCGCAGAAGAAAAACCCAAACCGATTGAAGAAGGACAGACTCAACCTATCGAAGAAGAAAAACCAAAACCGGTTCAAGAAGAACAGCCTCAACCTGTCGAAGAAGAAAAACCAAAACCGGTTCAAGAAGAAATATCCAAACCAATCGAGGAAGAAAAACCAAAACCAGTTGAAGAAGAGAAACCAAAACCGGTTGAACAAGAACAGCCTCAACCTATCGAAGAAGAAAAACCTAAATCAGCTGAAGAAGAAAAACCAGAACCAATCGAAGAAGAGAAACAAAAACCTGCTGAACAAGAACAGCCTAAACCTGTTGAACAAGAAAAACAGAAACCGGTTGAAGAAGAATTATCCAAACCGGTTGAGGAAGAAAAACCGAAACCAGTGGAAGAAGAGAAACCACAACCGGCTGAAGAAGAAAAACCAAAACCGATTGAAGAAGAAAAACCAACACCGGTTGAACAAGAACAACCTAAACATGTCGAAGAAGAAAAACCTAAACCAGTTGAAGAAGAAAAACGAGAACCAATGGAAGAAGAGAAACCAAAACCGGTTGAACAAGAACAACCTAAACCTGTCGAAGAAGAAAAACCAAAACCGGTTGAAGAAGAATTATCCAAACAGGTCGAGGAAGAAAAACCTAAACCAGTTGAAGGAGAAAAACCAGAACCAATCGAAGAAGAGAAACAAAAACCTGCTGAACAAGAACAGCCTAAACCTGTCGAAGAAGAAAAACCAAAACCGGTTGAAGAAGAAAAACCAGAACCGATTGAAGAAGAAAAACCAAAACCGGTTGAACAAGAAAAACCAAAACCGGTTGAAGAAGAATTATCCAAACAGGTCGAGGAAGAAAAACCTAAACCAGTTGAAGAAGAAAAACCAGAACCAATCGAAGAAGAGAAACAAAAACCTGCTGAACAAGAACAGCCTAAACCTGTCGAAGAAGAAAAACCAAAACCGGTTGAAGAAGAATTATCCAAACCGGTCGAGGAAGAAAAACCTAAACTAGTTGAAGAAGAAAAACCAAAACCTGCTGAACAAGAACAGCCTAAACCTGTTGAAGAAGAAAAACGAAAACCGGTTGAACAAGAACAACCTAAACCTATCGAAGAAGAAAAACCTAAACCAGTTGAAGAAGAAAAACCAGAACCAATCGAAGAAGAGAAACAAAAACCTGCTGAACAAGAACAGCCTAAACTTGTCGAAGAAGAAAAACCAAAACCAATTGAACAAGAACAACCTAAACCTATCGAAGAAGAAAAACCTAAACCAGTTGAAGAAGAAAAACCAGAACCAATCGAAGAAGAGAAGCCAAAACCTGCTGAACAAGAACAGCCTAAACCTGTGGAAGAAGAAAAACCAAAATCGATTGAAGAAGAAAAACCGAAACTCGAAGAGCATCCGAAACCTGTAGAAGAAGAGAAGTTTACATCAGCGGAACAAGAGAACTTGAAGCAGGTAGAGCAAGAGCAGCCGAAAGGGTCGGAAGAAGAGAAACCTCAGCCGGTAGAAGTAGAACAACCCACAAGAGTAGAGAAGGAACCAAAAGCAGTGGAAGAGGAAAGACCTCAGCTGGTAGAAAAAGAAGAAGAAGAGAAACCTGCGGAGGAAGAGAAACCTCAGGCGATACAAGAAGAACAACTCAAGCCAGTCGAAGAAGAAAAAATTCAACGGGTAGAGGAGCAACCGAAACTAGCGGGAGAAGAGAAACCTCAGCCAGCAGAAGTGGAAGAACCTTCACCGGTAAAGGAGCAGCCACAGCGAGTGGAGGAAGAGCAACTAAAAGCAGCTGAAGAAGAGAGACTTAAAGGAGTAGAGGAGCAACTAAGACGAGCGGAGGAAGAAAGAACTCATCTTGTTGAAGAAGAGAAACCTCGATGGGTAGCAGAAGAACAGAAACCAGCGAAAGACCAGAAAAGTAGACCGATCGAAGAGTAGCCTAAACAAGTGGACGTAGAGAAACATTCTTTGTTAGAAGAAGACCGGCTAAAATCAGGCGGAAAAGAGAAAGCCACACCAGTACAGTGGGAACAAAAATCAATAGATAGAGAGGGATCTAAGGCGGTGGATGATGAGAAACTTGAACGGGTAGACGAAGATAAACCTGAAATAGGATAGAAGAGAGACTACAAGGCGTAGAAAAGTTGAAATCAACGTTGGTTGAAGAAGATAGCTCTGAAGTAATTAATTATATACAATCTAATGGGAACTTTGTGGCGACGCAGGAATGCATCAGAAGAAAGGAGAATAAACTCTGTAGTTGAGATTAGCTATTTAGATGACGGAGACAGAAGAAAAGGACAAAAAGTAGCGAATCATAAATGCTGAATCGAACCTAGTATCGTTCATCATATTCTTTTTCTAACAGATGGAAGTAGAAAAACCTATAGAAGAAATTCAACCCGAATCTATGGAAGAAAAGAAAGTCGATCGTACGTCAACTGAAGAAACCGAATTAGCGGAAGTCGAAAAACCAGAACTAGTGACCACAGAGGAACAGGTAAGTTAGTAAGTGAGCGAGATATAGCACATCTGCACTTTCCTTCTAGCTCACGAGAACTCTTGAACAAGAGATTCCTGTCCATGAAGTCGAAGAGAATACAACTGTCACTCTCACTGTTGATACACCTTCTCGTGACATCCGTCTTCTTAAAGATAATAAGGAATTAAAACCTTCAGAACATATCAAAGTTATACACACATCATCAACAACTATCGAGATTCAAATTATAAAAGCTAAACCTCAAGATGAAGGAATATATAGTGTTCTCATTGATAAAAAAGAACAACCAATAGTACGACTGAAAGTTATTCCTAAACCAATTACTCGTCAAACAATGGACATACCACAAACAACGTTTAACGAAGGTGAAACATTGACAATTACATGTCAATTTGATTCTCCGCCTGAAGAAACATTTGAATTCTTGAGGAATGGAAAGCCTCTTAAACCTGATAATCGAATTTCGACTACTGTTGAACACAATACATATACAATTGTCGTGAAAGAGCTTCGTCCAAAAGAAGATGAAGGTGTTTATACATTTAAATCGGATCATTTGATTCTCGACACACCATCGATTAAAGTTGTATCGAAACCTAAAGAGGCTGAAAAAGTAGAACCGCAAGAAATAATCGAGGTACGAGAAGTACCGGCGGAAGAAAAGAAGGAACAAATCGTGAGTGCATATCAGATAAAGTTTTGGATGCTTTGTTTTTCATCACCAGTACTATCATTCGAGCTTCTATGATGGATTTTTCTTTTTAGCCACAACGTGTCGAAGAAACGACAATAGAAGAACATATTGTAACGGAAGAAATTTCTCAACCTCAAGAATCAATAACTACCGAAGCACAAGAAAAGAAAGAGGAATTAACGCTCCTCACAGAGCAGCCACAAGTAAGATATTTTCAATATCATCAAAAACACACGTTTCTTTTTTTGAATTGCTTTTATAGCCCACCATAAAGAAGATAGTTACTCAGTTACCTGTACATGAAGTTGAAGAAACAAGTACTGTAACATTAACTATTGTAAAACCACAAAGTACAAAACCAGAAGATGTTGTTTTACTTAAAGATGGAGAAGAGTTAAAACCTTCAAATCACGTAAAGGTTACTCCAACTTCACCAACTACAACAGAAGTTCAA